AGGGAGGCCAACTGTGGCTCTGCCTCAGCTGAGGCTTTTTCTCTCCTCAGTCCCTCAGCTTATTTAAATGCCTTTGTTACATTCCCTGGCCCTAAACCTCTGGAACATAGAAGGAAAATGGTTCCTTAGCTGCTTAGACAGAGCCAGGCTCCTGGGCCAACCATGCCTGGAAGGGGGTCTTCTCTTGAGAGGAGGGGACTGAGGCCTAGGAAACAGGGAACTAGCTCTCTCACACACCAGGCCAGTTGATCTGAGCCTCAACTTGCTCCTCCATACAATGGGTGTGATGATTTTTACCCTGCGAGGTCAAGAGGATGGAAAGAGATGGCCAACTTGGAAGTGGTCAGGTAAAGCTTGACACAGGTGAGTGCATGGGGCAATGTGGGCTGCCCTTGGCTGACAGAAGGAAACCTGAGTGTGCAGGGGCAGCAGAAGCACAGGCAAGCACCGGGTCCTTTTTGTTTTTATTTTTGTTTTTTTGAGACAGCATCTCATTCTGTTCCCCTTGGGTTGAGGATTAAGTGCTGTGGCATCACAGTGACCTCAAACTCCTGGGCTCAAGTGATCCTCTTGCCTTAGCCTCCCAAGTAGCTGGGACTACAGGTGCCTGCCACAGAACCCCACTAGTTTTTTTGTTTTTAGTAGAGATGGGTTTTACTATTGTTAAGGCTAGTCTTGAACTCCTGAGCTCAAGCAATTGGCCTACCTTGGCCTTCCAGAGTGCTGGGATTACAGGCATGAGCCACCATGCCTGGCCTCTGCACCCAGTTCTGACAGTTGCTCTGGAGCAGGGAAGACAAGCCCTCTGGGCCTGGCCAAAATCCCTCCAGCTATTCTCTGCCCACCAGAGTGAGCCACCCAAAGCCCATCTTCTCGGGGAAGTCAGTGTCTTGGTGGGGGTTTGCAAAGAGGTCCAGTTTAGGGGTTAGCTCTGCAGTATAGGAGGTGGCAGGGTGGGTAGGCCCAGCCACCTCAGAGCAGGTGGGTCCACTGAGAGCCTTTCCACCTCCTGAAGCCCCTGGGACCCCTGGATGAGCAGGTTTTCCCTGGTTCAAGAAAACCAGACAGTCTATGCTGGGCATGCTGCCTGCCCCGTGCTCTAGCCATATACTCAACAGGACTCCCACACCTGGCTGTGAAGGGCCCCACTGGGCCTGGGGGTGCAGCCTTGGGGTGGTTACTCACGCTCCATCTCCATACACTTTGATGGCGTTGACACAGTTCTTGGCCCAGCCCCGGCTCTGGAGGAAGGGGCAGTCTTCCACCAACTCCAGGCACTGGCCCGTGAAGTTGCAGCCCTCAAAGATTTCTAGGCGGAAATGTTCCCCATGCTCCGAGAGCCAAGCAAGTGGAAGAAGAACAGAAGGAAAATGTGCTGAGTTTCCCTCCCTGCGAGCAGGAGCCCCATGCAAGAAGGAGCTTCCAGTCACCCAGGGTTCAGGCACCCAAGAATTCTGGGGCTGAGACGGGAGGCCTGCGAGTGCCCTCACCCCAGTACACACACTTGGACCCAGCACCGTGTTTATTCTTCCATTGAGATGTGGTTGGATAAAAGGGTTCAATAGTTTTAAAACATTTCAAAGCCACTGAACTAGTCCAATCTCGTCTTTTGACAGCTAAAGAACTCAAGGTCCAGAAAGGGTAAGCATGACTGACCGCAGGCCAGTGGTCTCTGGGTTCCCCCCTGGGGTGCTCCTGCCCCGGGCATACTAACGTCAGGCTCTGACTTCTCTGTCCTGGGCTGCAGGCCACAGGCAAGACTTCAAATGATAATATTTTAAAATTGTAATAGAACCTTTTATTAAAACATGAGCCAAAAATCTAAAACAAATAACAGACCTCGTTTGCTGAACCCCCTGCTGGCCTTAACAACATGGTTCACTAGGATCAGTACATACATCTCCCTGTGTGATTCTCTGTGTCTCCAAAAGACAGAGGGGTAGCCAGCTCTTGACTCGAGCAAAAGCCTGTGGGTCTGCGTCACAGCTGGCCTCAAGGACAGCTCTTAAGAGTGCAGCCTTCCAAAGGTACCCAGTATGTGTTTCAGATAACAGCATTATGCAGGATCCAGGGCTCACCATTTTAATTCTATTTTCCCAAATATCTGCGGCCTGGCAGAAACACTAAGAAAGCATTCATATGACTTGAGATGTCAAAGCCCAGCTGGTTTTGCAACCAGTGTGGAAAAGAGAGGGAGCCCCCACAGAGGCCCTTTCTGCAGGGTTCCTCAGATGCTCAGAACTGCCTGGCCCAGGAATCCAGGGGAAAAGGACATGGCCAAGATTCTCTGATGGCAGCTGCTCAACCCTGGCCTCAGGAATCAGCCATTTCCCACCTGAAGCTCCAGAATTCACAGTAGGTCAGTTAGTACTTGTGAGCTGGGGGAATCCTGTTCCTCAAATCCCACCCTAGGGGCATCTAGACAGAAACAATCCTTGGGCATGGAGAGCAACACCTCTCATCTGCATAATCCGGTCACCCCGTGGGATGGCAGCTCCTGTGTAACTCCAATAATCCTGCCTCCAGGTTTTCCACTGACTGGCCAGTGATACTTCAGTTTCTTCCATAAGTCACTCCTAGACCAGAGCACAGAAGGCTCTGGAAGGCGCTACAAGATTGCCTATGCCAATGGACACACCAGACTCAAGTCGACTGTACTTTAGCTGAGTGCTTCCCATCCAGTTGTAAACCCAAACCTACACTATTTTCTTTCTTTCTACCCTTGGTAGAGTGCTGTGGCATCACAGCTCACAGCAACCTCCAGCTCTTGGGCTTAGGTGATTCTCTTGCCTCAGCTTCCTGAGTAGCTGGGACTACAGGCGCCTACCACATCGCCTGGCTATTTTTGTTGTTGTTGTAATTTGGCCAGGGCTGGGTTCGAACCTACCACCCTCCATATATGGGGCTGGCGCCCTACTCACTGAGCCACAGGTGCCACCCAATCTATACTATTTTCAACAGTGGTTTCCTGACACATGCATAAGAACTCTGCAGAGCACTCCCACCCCGTCCCCTGCAACTTGGCCCCTCCAACACAGTCTCACACTTATGAGGATGGCTCTGGGCAGTTCCCTTTCTCATCATAGAGATCTTAAAGCTGAAAGGCCCACACTCCCTGATTCTTTGTCCCATGCCTGCCAGGCCTGACCCTCAGCCATTCTAGGAGAAAACCCCTTTGTCCCCAGGGGAGTGGCCCACTCACCATTCCTACAGGCCGACAGGAGCCCATGTGGTCGTTGTGGCCATTCCATCGGAAGAAGTCAGGGTAGTCACCATGTTCCAGGATGTACTGCTGGCCCCGGAAATCAGGGTGATCAAAGCAGACCCAGGCTCCGCTCTCTACTCGGATGGAGTTCACTCGGTTCATAAAGCCTCGATCCTGGAAGTTGTCACAGTCCCCAAAGACCTCCAGCTTCCGCCCCGTGAAGTGCTTGCCCTCATAGAGAGTGATCTAGGAGGGCCGGTTAGAGAGCTCAGGGTCCGGGGCTTCCCTCCTTTGGTTTTGGAGGCTAGTGTCTGAGGCCCAGCACCCTCAACTGACCCCCAACTCTCAGGCCCCTAAAGCCCCACCCTGCTGCACACTGTTGATGCCCAACACTACCTGCTGTGGGGCTGGTGCCAGACACAGCTCCTGGCCCTCCCCACCTGTAGGAGCTCACAGTGGAGCAGGCCAATTTCAGCAGCTATTTGGGGACAGGAATTTCCCCTTTGTGTAAGTGCCCACTTGCCAATGGCCCTTTTCAAACTTCCACTACATTTTTAAAACTCATTTTTGTTTACTATTAAAACATAACACCCATAATAACATTAAAGGAAATGTTTTCCAAAGAACAAACTCTATCCCCAGCTCTATCACCATAATTCAACATTTCTTTTGCAGAAAGTCAGGCTCCTATTCGGGGGGCCTCCTTAACTGGAGAGGCTGAATCTGCCGAAGCCATGTCATGGCAGAGCCCTGGATTAGTGTTATCAAAAGAGGGCTTTGTAAGTGTCACCCTGTCCCTCTTTGTTTTGTAGGCCACTCCTTTGGGTAACAGACATGTGTCAGATCTGGAACTTTATCAACCCATCGGTAGTTCAGACAAAGGAAGGCATCACCGACAGGTTGTCCTGGTCCCCAAACTTAGCAATAACAATCCCCCAAAACTCACTTCCTGAAGTGGAACCTAAAATTCCAACCATTCAATAACTCTTTCAGTTTCAAGATTTGTGGCCCAAGAAGGACCCTGTCTAAGGGCACTTCCTGCTACCCAGGAACTGTCATTTGTGCCCTGGCAGCGTGTCCAGTCCTCTCAGGAATCACGTGGTAGCACTGCCCTTCCAGGCCCTGTGGAGTTGGCATGGCCATGAGCTTTGGCCACTGGGATATGTGGAGCGTGGAAGCTTTGCTGGTCAGCACGGCCTGGGGTGCAGGGGTAGACAAACATCCCCGGGGGCTTTACACGCTGACCTGTGGGGGCCGTTAGTTACTGGAGCTTGGCCTGGACCATGCAGACCAACAGGGCCATGGTATCACCCACACATGCTCTAGTGTGGCCTCTGGAGACCTCAGGCTTTCAGATTACCTGGGGTAGGGATGCTCGAGAAAGGGGAGAGCCAGATGTGCCCCTTTCCTGCAGGAGACATGTCTGTTCAAGTCATTTGGGGAGACCTGGTCACCCAAAGTATTGGAAGGTCCCTCAAAAAAATCTCAACATTTTGCAGAGAACTAGCCCCAAGTGCCCCCTGAAAAGATCCTGAGGAAGGAAAAGCTGCCTTTAAACCAGCCTCGGGGTTTCAGAGCCGTGGCTGGGGACCAGTCAAGGTTCCACCACCTCAAGGGAGTGAACAAGTGTGCCCACCCTTCCTGCTCCTGGCTCTTGGCAGGCGGGGTTGGGACCCCAGAGGAGGGCATGCGGGCTAGAGCCCTTCTACCCAGCCACACCACAGAGGGTGTGGTGCTTCACCGCCGACAGCAAAACCGCCCATTTTATTAAGAAATTAAACCAACTTTGCTTGGGTTTGTCAACAGTGTGCCCCTCCCCCCCATGTTCGCGCTCAAGGGTCGATGGCGGGGTCCCCTCAAGCCCCCTCCAATCCCCGCTCCGCGCGGGTTTCCCGGCAGTAGGCAGGGGATAGGGTGGCACTCACCTTCCCCGAGCGCTGCGCCATGGTGCGCCCCGCGGTCCCCGCCGGTGGCGTTTATACTGCGAGGCACCCTGCTGGCTCAGCGCCGCCCCGGACAAAAGATTTGCTTGGCCTGCCCCAGCGCGCGTTAGTGCTGTCGGGCGTGCTAAACCCTCGAGGGGCCGCCCGGCTGCTGGGACCGACCAGCGGCCACCCTGTGCCACCTGCACGTCGGTCCAGGCCCCTGCCCAAGTCTCCGAGTGATCTGGGAGGTTACTGCGGCAATCCGAGGCAGGGCATAAGACCCCTTCCCTCCGTGACCCCTCTACCCGAGCCGACTAGACCCGCTGTCCCCTGCTGAGTCAGGGCCACAGGCACTGCCCAGAGAGGGGTAGGAGGTGACGGTCTCAGTCTCCAGACTTTCTTTCCTGAGGGGCGCTGTTCTGCCCCTCAGGGCTACTCTGACCTCCCCAGCGCACTCTCCGCTCATCCTACTGCATGCAGTCTCACAGTGGCGCCAACTTGTTTCTCTGGACAGGTATGGAGCCCAAGGTTCCCTGGGGCAGAGAAGACGCCGGAAGGGGCTCTGCCTACGCCTCTGGTCTTAGCTCCATACCCCTGCCTTGGACTTTCTGCAACAACATCACCCAAGCCCTGGGCAACCCCACCTCCTGCTTTGTCCCTGCCATCCTTTCTCCCTGGGATGCTGCCCCTCTCTCTCTCCCCTTGAAGATTCTGCCAAGGTGCCCAGGCCCTGACCCTCACTGCCCCCAGCTGAGGGGCCACAGTGCTCTGCACCCCTGCCTCTCTCTATTACCTAGTCCAGACCACCCTGGATGACAGGGATCGGTTTCCAAAATCATGCAGCCTCACTGTGGGGGGAGAATTTCCCAGGACACAGAAGTTCTTGGCGGTGGTAGAGACTCAGAGATGTCGGTGGAATGAGCAGAGTAAACATCGACCACCTCAGCGTGTGTTAGCCCCAGCGGTGGGGGAGATGTGAACACAAGCAACCAAGAGCAGGTGGAGGGCCCAATGTTAACACGAGCGACCGGGATCCAGTGGGGGCAGGGCTCTGAGATCAAAGGAGAAGCCCAGGGGCTCGACAAGGTCCCTGCGCAGCGGGAGGAGCTTGGGGCAGTGTGGGCTGCTCCTCTACTCTCCAGAAAGTATATTTTTCTCACCATTTCACAGATGACACACTTCAAGGTCAGGAGAAGGGAGACATGTGACTCTTGGGGCAGCCGAGCTGGACTAGAACCCCATGTCACCCTTGAACCCAAGGTCAGCCTTCCCTCCCCTCCCACCCCTTTACCCACCCAGAGGGGCCTCCACAGGCACCCACACTCGCCAAACGACTCGCTCAAACTTTGTCTCTGGACATGGGCCCTGGTAGGGACGTAAAATTAAAAACAAAATCTCCTGCCAGCTCAGAAGGCCTCTCTACAAAGGTAGAAGAGAAAGCAAACAGTTTTATTATGGAAGAAGCATTAAACCTGAGTCTAATGCGCATCCCAGCAACCTGCTCAGGGATGCGCAGATGGAGAACGTGCTGCCTGTTCACGGGGTCAAGGAGAAGCAGCCCATGATGTTCACGTTTTCAGGATAAACTCGCTCATTTTCTCACATCTTTATGATGCAAGAAAAGCCCTTGGAGTGGGGGAAGGGCTGCTGTCTTCTTTGATGTCCTCAAGTCAAGGAGTTGGCCCCAGCTCCCCAGGGAGCTTTACTGAGTTGTTAGACTGGCAAGAGGCCTGTGTAACCCTTAAAAAGATTTACACACATCTAGAATGGTCAAAGAAAGAAAGCTGCAAGAAAAGAGAGGAAAAGAAAGATGCTTCCTTTATTTTCAACAGGGGAAATTAAGCCTTTTAAAAATTTATAGACTTTTATTTAGAGCAGTTTTAGGTTCACAGCAAACTGAGTGGAAAGATTTCCCATGTAGCTCCAGCCACCCCCCACAAGCTTGCCCTCCCCACCATGTATATCCTGCACCAGAGTGGGACATTTGTAACAACCAGAGGACCCACATTACACAGAGGGACACCAGGTAGGATGTTGAGACACAGAGAACTCTGTACAGACAGTTGTTAAAGTAACTCTTATCTTTTAAGCTTCTCACATAATTTAGCTGCTTTCTTTTGCTTTTCTTTGTCTAATTTAGTGTGCAAGTGTTTGACTCTAACTTCTCCTTTGGGTCTTCCTTTCCTCATGAGGGGTTCCTGTGCCACATAAAGCCTGCATTAAATAAATCTATAGGCCCTTCTCTTGTCATGTCGACATAAGGAGTTCTGCCACCTCTGCAGTATAATGTCAGGAACCCATCATTACAACACCGCATGGAGTATTTTCACTGCCCGAAAAATCCTCCAGCTCCATCTGTTCATCCCTCACTCCCCCCACCCCCTGGCAACCACCAATCTTTTCCCTACCTTCATAGTTTTGCCTTTTCCAGGATGCCATATAGTTGGAATCTTACGCTGTATAGTTGTTATGGTTTGAATATATCCTCCAAAAATAAGGTGACCAGATTTTAACATTGGTAAAACGGGACACCATTGAGGGGGAAGGGGTGGGGGGAGGGGGGCACAGGAGGGCAGAGCCTGACAACAACGCAAACTTTGATAAGTAGTTCTCAATAATCAGTTTTCAACAATTATTTGTTATTATTAAAGTTTAACATTATAAAATTAACAAAAATAATATAAAACTCATATCTTGGTAAAATAGCCACATGGCAGCCCAAAACCGTACATTCTCTTCCTGTTCTCTCGTGTTCCCTAGCTTGTCGTGCATTCTTTCCAAAAATTGGGACTTTTTAAAAACGCCGCAGGATGTGGGACAAATTGTTAAAAATCGGGACTTTCGGCTCGGCACCTGTGGCTCAACCGGCTAAGGCGCCAGCCATGTACACCTAAGGTGGCGGGTTCGAATCCCCAGCCCGGACTCGCCAAACAACAATGAC